ATTAGCAACAAAGGGCCATACAAGCCCAGATGCAGGGCCACGGCTGCCATCTCTGCCATTTTTTAGGTTTCTGGTGTTAGCGCTTTATTTTCTGTTCATTTTTTCAGCTGCTACAGTGCATGATGGATGGACAGAGTTGTTGTGAGAGAAATCAATGTTCAAGTTCATGCTTATGTTAATACTGCTGAGACACGCTGGAACAGCTGTAGCAAGCAAAATAAACTACTGCCGTTCTCAATATTTTTTTTTAAAAAAAGGTAAGAAAAGTAAATTGTGTCGAAAGAACAAAAATTTGGTGATACTTACAAACGTGTGGCATATCTTACCTGCCATGTAGTGTTAACAGTACTGGCTATGAACAGGCTTACAACATACTTGATTTTTGTGTCTTGTGCACAAGCCTTATGCAGCTCTGGGTTTTTCCCTTACACAATGGAAAAGGCAAAAAGCAAGCTGGTTTCTTTTGCTGACCTTTGCAGAAAAACCTGTGAAATGAAGCGTAACTCTTTTATGAACGGGATCCCTGAATAACTACATCTGTGAGCGTAACTACATTAGGAACCATTGCAGTATCTCAGCGTGTTCTTGGACAATGCCCTAGTTTTTGCTGCATTTGAAAGAAGTTGCTGAGTGTTCCATACTTCAGGTACTGACGCTGTGTGTGCCTGGAAAGGGGGAGGTCAGAAAATGTAGTGAGGTAAAGAGGAACTGTACTCTTTGGACTGAAGTCGCTGTTGAGGCAGGCTGTTACTTTAGATTCTGAGCCCAAGAACTTAAAAATTACCACATTTAATTTTTCATGTTAATATGCATTAACTAAGGATTTTCAGCTGCTTCTCTCCTACAGCAAAAGCAGAAATTCTTTGTCCTAAGTTTGTAAATTAATATTGAACTAACTGTGCAATGGAAAGACTACACATACTTGACAAAAAATATTTATTTCTATAACAGCATTTGATGTAAAACAATAGTGTACAAAGTAAACATGTTCACAAATTTTTGTGTTTTAAATTCTTACTCTCTGAAAGGAACGATTAAGATGTTTTCTGACCAGTGGAGCAGTACGTTCCTAGGAAAGAAGAGCTACACTTGATATATCACTGCGTAAAAGAAGCAGCGCAGGGCTATGGAAGACATTTTCAGAAAATGGAAGGTCTGATATTTCTGGTAAAAGTTAACGTAAACAAGATGGAGAGAGAATGCTGATCTTCGTCTTTCCTTCAGTCCTGTGCCAATCACCAGGATGACAGCTGGTCACTTTTCACAGATTATTTCAGCTTCCAGTTAACCTCCCCAGCCCCACTCCAGCTCCCACTAATTTTATATTGGCTTTTTATTTTGGCATAGAAGTTACAAACAAAATTTTAAGTACAGAATACAGTGTCATTGAATTTCAGAGATTACTGATGTTGGCCAAATGAGTGGAATGCATAAAATCGTTCAAATCAAGAGTCCTTGGCATCTGCAAACTGGAACAGTTGTATCACCAAAGAGCAAGGATAAACCCCAATTTTCTTGTATTAAAGAACTACCTAAAGCTGCAGCAACGTGTGTGTGTGTGTGTGTGTGTTGTTCGGTTTGTGTGCCTGCATTCTTGGTTACAGTGAGCCTCTGGAAGACATAAATATTGAGGTAAATGTTCCTGTCAGCTGATTGTTTTAGCAGTCACATAATCCTTCCTTTGATGTCTTGGGTCAGTGAAATCCTAGTACCATCGGGGTATATATTAAAAGAGTTTCTCTGTGATCTTTCCTGCAACGGAAACAGCAGTAAAAGTTATTATTCTGTCACGATAAAGGCCTATCCCTGCATTCTTGATTGCCCCAGCTTTCCAAACAGAGTTATTTTTTAGGTTACCAGTAGAGTGTAACAGTGTTTACAGAGTTTACAATGATCTCTTTAGATTTCTACAGCTACCACAACGAGGTCTGGGGAAAACAGGGAAGATCCACAGTGCAAGCACATTCTCTTGGTTATTAGCAGGTTACACTGAAAATGATGCTGGAGGTCAGTTACCAGAGCAGTACTGTGTGATGTGCTACATGCCCACATACCTTCTCGTCTTAAGCCAACAGTTCTCTAAACAGTACTGAGGTAGCTTTTCCACCTTAGGCTGTTTAGTCTTTAGCATCAGGACATTGTAATGTATATTAATTCCGTTTTTTGAGAGAAAACAGTAACAGCATTTCTCAAAGGCTCTTAGAAAAGGTACATCTTTTTTTTTTTTGCTCTAGGGCTAATGCTGAACTGAGCCAGTGTGTAAAATCAGAACTGATATCAGCTCAGTAGGCACCGGAGGACGGGTCCATCAACAGCCTGGAACAACAGCAGCAGCTGTAAGTGGCAGCTCCAGTCGGAAACAACCATTTCCTGCAAACGACGCACAGTGCTAAGCTACAACTGCAGAGACAGCATCCGTTAAAGAGAAGACTACAAAACAAAGCTTTATAGACAATTCCAGTTTTAAAGTCACAAACATTTATTTCCTCTGACCTTTAGAAAAGCATGGTAACCAAATTACTGTAGGCGATGCCTTACTTCTGCAGGCAGGTCGAGAACTTAAGGAGAATTGTTTATTCTCAACTAAAACCAAGAGTCTTTGGTCCTCCCCAAGTCACCTCTGCCTCTTATGCTCGATATACTGCGTCTCGCACACACGTGTTCCTTGTAAGTCTGCCCATTCAGCAGCAAGGCATCTCAGCCAGCAAACGCTCTCCACCCTGCGCAGGCTGACATTAAGCAAAGTCTCCTCTCCCCTTCTCCTCAGGTGCAGAACTTAGCCACTGTGAACAAAGAGGGAAACAATCACTGTTCACCAATCAGCTAAGCTCTGCACCTCGACAGAGAGGTCTCCGTCTTGGTATAGCTAATTATCGGATGAGGTTCTTCCATGATGCATCTGCTGCTTTCCTCTTTTTTTTTGGTTGGTTTTTGGGTTTTTGGGGTTTTTTTTTTTTCGGTTTTGTTTAATGGATGGAGAGGATTCCACGCTGTGCACAGACCAGATAGTTAAGGTGAGTTTCATACTAGCAGCTGTGGTCATGGCTGTGTGGTAATCCCTGGCAATGTGATTTTAATCTTAAATCACAAATCATCATGCCAGGAACCCAAACAGCCACAACATTAAAAGAAAGCTGTGCAGTCACACAGAGTGTTGTTCTCATAACAGTATCTTTAGATCTTATGTTACAGCTCACTATGCACTTCTAGTCTGTCTGAAAAGTCAAACGGGCAATTCTAGACTATTGCTAACACATACATACCATGTAGTTTTCCTGTGGTAGGTACTTACCACCAGAAGCTTGCAGAAATTTTGATTCTTATTTTATTATTGAAGGAACTATAGGAAGACAGTTCAAAGTACAGTAGTACCAGAACAAACTGCATCTCCATAGGACAAGAGGAAATGCCCTCAAGTTGTGCCAGGGGAGGTTTAGGATGGATATTAGCAAAAAGTTCTTCACAGAAAGGGTTGTTAAGCATTGGAACAGGCTGCCCAGGGAAGTAGTGGAGTCTCCATCCCTGGAGGTATTTAAAAAACAGGTACATGTGGTGCTGAGGGACATGGTTTAGTGGTGGGTTTTGGCAGTGTTAGGCTGATGGTTGGACTTGATGATCTTAAAGGTCCCTTCCAACCTAGAATATTCTATGATTCCATTTTTCTGGTGTTCATACACTTGAAGGCATCTATCTGCCAGAGTAAAAATTGTTGAACATAACTCAAATTTCTGTGGGTCCTTGGTAACTGGGAGCACACAAGCAAGTCTCTTAGCCCTACCTGTTTTAGAGGGTGAATCTCCTACCCCATAACTGATATCCTGGCACTCCACAGTTTAACCCACTTTTTCCAAAAAAAGTTTTCTTGGCAGGCACAGTTCTTGCCTATACAGAAGAACAACATGGCTGTTCATAAACAAACTTTCTTTCATGATATCTACCTGCTGTATTTCATATAAATAAAGTAAACACCTCAAATTCAAGTGGAGCTTGCTATTGAGTACTGCTATATGCACAAACAGGAGAAAATAAGATTTCTGCTCATTACCAATGAGAAAATGATGATTTTGTGAAATGAGACACCTGAATTTTGATACCACAAATCAACTGTAAAGTTATGTGAACAGCCAAGGCAATCAGTCTGGCAGATGAGTTATATCATTAAACAAAAATCTGAGGTATGCTGTAGTGGAAGAGACCTTCATGCCAATCCTAACTGGCTGTGTGTTAAACATGCAAGTACAAACACTGTAAGGTTACCTCCGGCTACTCAAATAGACTGAGAAACGGAGAATATCTTTGCAAATTACTAGTTTATAGCCTGCAGCAATCTTTATTTCATGAGTATTTCTTGCAATTCTGCTTCTTCTCTGGTGATTCCTCCCCATTAAGTTCAGAAACAAGCTAGATTATGTATTAGTCAGCTTCTTCATGTTAAGGCTACTCTTCTTACCTCATAATCAGTCTTCAAAGGCCTCACTACACTTAACACAAAAACATTTGAATTATCAGCTTGTTCTCACATGATTCAGATTTGCTTCCAAGTGCACAGCTTCGTACTTCCACTGTGGGCTCAGTTTCTTTTCAAAGACCGTGCTGACTATCAAGCCAACATGCAGTTAAACAGAAATGCCCTTTGCACAACTGCAATTTCCTTAAGCAGAGTTAAGAATACAGAATGGGAAACAACTGCAGGTGGAGCCTGGCCTTCTCTGGCCATTCGGACTTACAGTTGCCTCTTGTACAGTCTGTTACAAAGTCTACAACAAAGCCATCCTCCATGCTCTCCAGCTAGTGCCTACACGTATCTAACTCACTGCTCCAGCAGCTGGGCTTAAAAAAAGAAAAAAAAAAGGCAAGATATTTAACAAGAGTTACTTCTGAAGCTAAGCAGCCACAAGCTGTATGGTATGGCCAAAGTTTACTACATTTAGTGAGCTCTGCATATTATTTCTGTTTCAGACAAAATCAGGGTGTTTAATTTAAAAAGAAAAATCACCTCTTCAGAATAACATCTCTGCCACCACTTTGGCTGAGGACGCATCCATATGTTCTCTTGCTGCAGCAAAGCATTTATGTGCAAGTTCTTGTTGTTTCACGTCTTCATTCACCATTAATTCACCATAGAGATACACACCCATTGCCTGAAATAGGAACACAAGACACAGGCATCCTATCACCAGTAATGACCAGTTAGCTGGGTTTCATTCCATTGACCTCCTCCTAGTACGCATTTAACTAAAACCAAACAAAAACAAACAACCCAAAACACAGAAAATACCATATACTCTATAACACCTACCCTTCCCCCCAAAAAGTAGGTTTCTCTGGATCTCTTTAGCCTAAGGATGGTTTTCGCTGTGTTGTATTGAGTACGTAAGAACAGGATATGAATATAAGAGGCGCACATTATGTCGTGAGAAGAAAATGCTTTCTCACTCCATTTTTCTTGCCACTTTTCAGGTTGAAATCCGTTTTCTTTTATACAATATCTGAAATATTTCCAAATGCCCCTTAAGAAAATATCTTGTCTTTCCTTCAACAGGATACACATTTTCTTTCCAACTGGGATGTTTACATACACACACACACACACAAATAAAGAGGACATCAACCGAAACGGTACACTCTCAAATTCCCATTTGGCAATTCTGTAACAGGACATCAACTGAATGCGGTCAGGTCTGTGTTTCAGACTCTTCTCTCTACATTTGAGATATAGCTGAAGATGCACAAATTCTGGTTTGGTAAGGCAGCAGGCTTTTCCTAACTACTCATTCTGGACATAGTGGCTATCAAGAAAGATAACAGGGTAGCTGGGGGTGAGATCTGGGCCCCTTCTGGGCAGGTAAAAAAAGCACCGGCTAACTTAATGGGAAACACACTGGGGACTGCCAATTTTTTCTGATTATATAATTTTTTTTCACCTAATTACAGGAATTCAGTAAGCGTTAAACTGCACTTATCAAAATAGGATTACACGTGTGACAAAATATTAGCAGCTTAGCACACTGGTTTTTACAGTTGTGCTTAATGTTTGGACAGTTGCAGGAGAGGAAAAATTTGGATAGCATTGAAAAAACACAATTTTTAATACTATTCCTCACAGTTTCTAGCATTGCCTGGTAAGCCTTTAAAAAAAATTAGCTTCAACAAGAAGGGAAATTTAAAGTTTAACAGAGACTGAAGTTAAAGGAAAAAGTCCTGGAGTGGTATAAACCTGCCAGACTCCTCGCCAATCCCCTATGTGTGCTTCCTTCCATCCAGAGACCCAAGAACTCGGACTTCCAGGGTCTGCAGCTGGACCAGGGTCTGGCCTCCATACCAAGTACGCACACCACCTTGGAGCCGGGCTCCACTCACTTTCAGAGAGAATTTCAAAATGTTGGAATTTCATTACAAATAGGAAATACCTTCTCTATCCAGCATTAATAATTTCCCCTCAAGCCTAAACATTAACATGCAGTAAACACACTGGGTTTTTATAGTCCTGAAAAGGATTTAAATAGTCACATTTGCATTTTTCCCAGACTTTAAAAAAAGCCAAGTCTTTCATGATCAGTAAGGACATGCAACTGCTCTGATTTCAGTTGTAATCACTCCAGAAACTGGTTGTGCCATAAACTGCATGCACTGCTGGAGTACATGAAATGAAAGATATTGAAGACTCCATTAAAAAAAGTTGCAAAAATTATTTCCCTGCGCTGCAGATAATGTTAGTCTTTATTTGGCATAGTATCTGTTCCAAACATAATGCAATTCAGTGTGTTTGGTTTTATGAACTCAAGGATTTCCCACCTCCCCCAGGCTTCTGCTGGTGGTTATCTCCATCCTTTCATACGATTAAAATACACACAACATATAAACTCCTTATTTCACAAATAATGTTCTTTTAATCTTCCCCCCATATAGTACTCTATCAATTGCTGAAAGAGACTGCAATAACTTTATTGTGCTGTGACAAAATGTTTTTGCCTGAAAGCACAAAAACCTCATTGGCTGTAAATGGCTTTGTTCATTGTCAACATAAAAGGTAAAGACATTAATATCTTGCTTAGACCTTGACATATCTTGCAACACTTTCTATTTTTTACATGCATCTTAAATATATGTAAGTCATCCTAAGCAGGGAATGTCTTGCTTTAGAGTTCATATAGTGAATAAAAATAAATAAAAGTGAAATAGAAAAAACAAGGCAGAGGTACAACTATTAGAATTGTAAGTTCCTAATGGCCTAGATAAAAAGCCATGGTAAAAACACCATGTATGGCCACCCTTTTAAGGCCTTCAAAATCTTGTGGTATCATTTTCCTAACCGTGGGGGGTCTGCATTCTCCGGAGGTGTATCGTTGTGCTACGCTTCTCCTTCTGGACGTTGTGTTGAAAACTGAAGTCACCACAGCACCGACTGCTTTGCCCCTAGCTCAAATCTACACGCATTAATATTCACAGCTAGACTTGCCTTTGCCATCCTGCAAAAGAAATCAATGCTGAGAAGAATCTTTCTAGCGTCACTGCTCCCTCTGGCTTTCATAAAATGGAAGGAGAGGAGGGAATATAGTCTATTTCTCCACTGAGCATGCTTAGGTGGGGTTGAATACCCCTAGATGACTTCCTTAAAATACAGTGTTAAAGGAGCAAAAGAGGCAAAAACTGAATACACCCCTAAGCTTTTGACAAACTGCAGGAATAATACATATTAAAATCATTCTTTAGTTTCACACTAAGGTGTCAAAAAGTTGACTACTTTGAAAATGCTAATTAAATGTAACTGACCTGATCTTCTCTGAGAAATCTCTCAACATCTCCATACCCAGCCACGTACTTGTGTTTAACAACAAGTTCACACCACCGATGACGAACCTTTGGGAAAAGAAAAAATATTAAGGGTGGGGGGGAAGGAAACTGTACTGTATCTGTGTGAGTGTCGATAAACAATACATCTCTAACCAGTTTGGATTTGTCGTTGTTGTTGGGTTTGGGGTTTTTTTGGTGGGTTGGGTTTTTTTTTCCCTGGCAGATGCCTTCCAACACTGGTCGGTGCAGCGCTCTGCGTGTGTGAGCCTGAGTTTTGGAAACCCAGAACACCCAAAGACAAAATCCTGGTTCCACGTTAGGAAACTAATCCACACCCAGGTACAGATCTGCAGCGTCTTCACCTCCACTGTTTCCAGTCTTGACTTTTTTTCCCTTTAAGTTAGGCTAGAGGTTATTTCTTTTATACTGTTAGAAGGTGGGAGGGGGAGGAGATTAGCGCTGCCAACATCTGGAAGAGCCACAAGATATAATTGATAATTTCCCCTATGTAAGTGTATACTCCAAGTGATAAAAAAGCTTAAATATAATTCTGTAGCAATACTAAATACATACCAAAAGGATAACAGATTATAAAACCATGAAACAGGGAGCTTTCAGTTAAATGAAACGTAGCTTTGCCACCGTTTCTTTGCCAGTAATAGAGTTTAAGCACCTTGAAAAGTGTTTAAAATCCATCTACACTTAAAAAGCCAGGCTATTCTACCAAATGCACATTAACACAACCAGTTATTAACGTACTGTAATGAAAAGTAAGGAAAATTTCAAGCAAATCGCGATTGAAAAATATTTTAAGTAGTGCAAACATGAATTACACGTGGGTTTTTTTGTCATTGTCTTTAAATTTCTGACTTTGTTCTTAGCTGCTTTTGTGGTGTAAGCATCATCTTACTCTCCAGTAAGGCTTCCTCAGCTGTAGGCAGTGATCAACCTAATATTTTACATTCCATTAGTGGCTCAACACTGATCCTAAAGAAAAACAGTTAAGTGCAATAAAACCTTCCCGGTCCTTCTGGTTCAGCCTCTGTTCTTACCATTTTTCAAAAGACAGGGCACCTAATAACAAACACCTTTCACAGCAAGAGTAAAATGTTAGCAGTTCTAACATTTTTTCAAAACTGAGTCCAAATTGTGCTCATATCAAGTAACCGAGCACAAACCTTTTTCTGAATGATAGATTTACTGATAACTTCGAGAATGGAAGCCAGAAAGGCAGGGGAAGAAAGTCACGCTTAATATATTGTTGCTTTTGGAAATAAGGTTATCTGGAAATACTTTCCATGTCATCCTAGTCCTTGCCAATTTTACATCTCAGGAAAAAAACTCACAGACATAGGTAATTAGATGTTAATACCATTAGCATAATCAACAAGTGATAAATGCTTACAGATCCTGGAAGAGTCCTTTTTGGGTATCTGGTATCTCCTTCCAGCTGACCTCTTATATGAAATAGTTTGAACGCAGCTTATGAATGAAATAAAATCCTGAGGGGGTTTTGTGCCTGAGTGGTGTTTTCGCAGCACGCAAGATACTGAACAGTCACAATGCAACGCATGATAGGGAACGAAAGCTGTCTCTTAAAGCTTTCTGCTGACAAAATAACAGCTGTTAAGATTCCTGCAAGTGGAACCAGAGCTAAATCTACAAAAGTAAATAGCTTTCCAAGATTCAACTCACTTTGCTGTAGATGCCCATATCCATAATGCGGAACTTCAAAACCCTACCCAGCTGCTGCTTCTCCCTGGAGACACTAAACATTTCACCAGTAAAATCTTCCCAGGAAATCCAGCTTTGTTACAGAGCGTTTCTCATAGCACTGAGCAGCCCCATGCCTGAACCAAACCTTCAAGGCTGAAAAATTAAACATACACCCCTCTCATCTGTAAGGTTAGTCTACCATACGGAATATAACCACATTTAAAAGGTTGTATGTCTTCATCTGACACACTTTATTTTGCACCTTCTGTCATATATTAAGAAAAAATAAATTCCCTATGTATTCTTATACCATGTATGAGAAACACAAGGAGGATAAAGGGTCAGTGGTCCTCTCCTGTGATGACTGCTCTTCTACATCTCATGGCCGAGCAGTTCCAGCACTTAGCCAGGAGGTACGCAATCAAGTTCAGTTTCCACGTCTGCTCAAGATGTCAAACTGTGCCTTCAGCGAGAGTATTTCAACAGCACTTTATAAAGTATTCTGGGATGGGGCTCTCTGCATACCTCCTGGTAAAGCTGCTTTTTCCCCTGCAGCTATTAAGATATTTATTGATCCTAAAGGAGGAGGTCATGAGACTTCAGGGCCTACTTTTTTGAGTACTTTCAATAAGAAGCAAGGACCTGGCTCGTGCAGCACACAAGCCACCTCGTCCCCAACAACACTTTTCTGGTGCAACCATAATAGTTGCGTGGAGAGCAGGACAGAACTTCTCCCTGTGAAGGCGTTCATGTGGCCCTACTTCCTCACACACTGATGTTGTGTTTGTCTCCCTCACATTTGTATCACAGCCTGACCGTCTGAATCCCAACAACTTTGGAAATCATGGAACAATTAAGCTGTGCCCATTTCCTTAATTGTTCCTCCCCCCATAGGGTTCCCGTTCTTGGCAATAAATCTCCTTTCAAATCGCTTAAAAGGGAAATACTTATTTGTTGAATGAGATCTGGGGCACGGCATACTCTTCTTTCTCTCTTTTGCTTTCCCCCCCCTCTCCTTCTTTCCCAGGGCGAGTACAGATCCCGGCACGTTTCCAGATCCAAAAACACTGGCGCCTTGCCAGCTGGGGCCGGGGCGGCACATGCCTGTTATCCTCAGATTACACCTCTGCCTCCTGTTTTTCCCAAAAAGCCCCAGACGCTCTCGTGGCAGAACGAAGTGCAGGAGCACCCCTGGCTGCTGAAGCGCGGGTGGAAGCAGCGGGGCGGCCGGCCCCGACGGCTCTGCTGTGTCCGTGTGTCTGGGTCGGGGACCCCAGTGAGCTGAGCAGAGACGCCGAGGCTGGCTCCGCGTCAAAGAGGGGCAGGGGGTGACCTGCACAATGCTGGCACTGAAATCTTTGTTACTACTTGGACTGAACATATATATATATATATATATACACATATGTAATTGTTTCCCTCCTGCCCCCCACGGCTCCCACGCAGCGCGGTGTGTAGATGGCCGCGTAACACAAACTGCAGCTAAAGCCAACGCAGTCATTTCTCAGATACATGCACTACAAAGAAGTAATGTTTCTAGTATAATCCACGCCCTAGGCTGATACCACAAACATGAGAATTTTATTCACATAAGAGAGGGATGGAAAAAAAAAAAAAATACTCAGTTCCCAACGTCTCATCCAATGCTTAGAGCAGGAAAAGTAAAACGGGCCCCACAGCTTCACAGCCTAATGAATGAGTCATGTGCACAGGCACAACCAGTCTTGAAAGGAAATTCTGAAAACGAAGTAGCTTGTGGTAGGACTGAGCTAACCATACCGCATCCTGTGTATGCTCTTCTTGGCTTTGCTGTTCCTCCCAGGAGCAAGTACTCAGTGGCAAAAATAAGAATCCATTAGTCCTCTCCCAGTTTTCTCTCTGCACATTTCTCTGTGCTCTTCTGCACGGTTCAGAGATGCACACCATATGTCGTTTTGGCCGGTTACACCATAAACAATATAAACTAAATCTGAAAAGTAATTTACAGCAATCCTTCCTGTTAATGCTGGCAGACAGCACATACAACTTTGTCTGGACCTGAAGCAGCACCTGTAACCGCCCACCCACCCACACACACTTTGCTGGTTTGGCAGCTGCAGGAACCCACGTGCCATAGTTGGAAACGCAATTTATTTTCTCAGCCTCCGATCCCAGGCTGAGAGCTGTCCTTCCGAGCCCTCGACTGACGGCTGGTACTCCCGAGGATGGGGAGAGGTGGCAGGGGGAGCGACGGAGGTCTGCTGGGACCTCAGGTTTCTCGTGGATGGATCCTTATTGCCTGGAAATCGTTCTTTCCTCCCACCTTGCTTTTGCGGCTCGTGCGGGCTTCTCTGCTACCAGCATTTTAAGCTAAGCGAAGGTTGTTACTGTTAGTTTTGCAAGACACTACGCATATTAGTAGCGTATTTCTGAGGCACAATTCGGTGGCAGGAAGACACTGAAACACTCACTGTCTCAGGTATGAAATTTGGAAAACAGCTCTTACATTTTCATAAATATCAACTACATCAATGTATAAGCAGTGGCCAGCACCTAGATGAAATGTCTTGAAGGGATGCTACTATCAGATAGCAGAGAGTCCCAAATTTAGGAGCAGCAGCTTATACAAATAATTCCAGTGGTCTCATACTATCTTTTAATTCCAGTTTAAAAGTACACAGTATTGCACAATATTATTTGCAACTCAAACATTACCTGTATTTTGACAGCGCAATGGGAGATGGCAAGAAACCAAAATTATGCTGTCTTAGTCTGTCTTCAGAGAACGCAAGCTGTTGCATTAGATTACTTAACTGCAATAAATACTTATATAAAATATACTAATAGTCCAGCTCTAAGACAGTCCCCTTGTTTTAGTGACCTGGGCCAAGACCTTTTGGGAAACAGGGCTTGAAGCTGACTGACTAAACCCATCTAAGGCATCGAATATGTGCCTTGACTTTCAAAAGAAAAACTCCCAGTGACATACCTGAGAAACAGTATTTGAACAACAACTATTTTGAACAAGTTCTAAATTAAAGCAAAAAATATCTTTTTTACCCAGGTGATAAATTACTTTGCCTAATCCATATTATTCTCTCCTGCCCCGTATAAATGATCAGGCAAGCCTAAAGCAAACATCCTCACAGAAAGCTTCATATGTTGTATTGTAATTATCTAGCTTGCTAATGTTCTCAATCATATGTATGCAAGCAAAAAAATAAATATTTTACTTCTGAGGTCTACAAATAAGATTTAGAAAGCAAGTAATTTAAACCATGCCTTTATTAAAGTGAGAAAAAAGCTAGAGTTTACTAAGCCTTTGGTCTGCAGAATGGGAGAGTAGCTTCAGGGAAAAAGAGTGTATTTTG